GGACAACAACAAACAAACATACCATTAAGAGCCGTGCTTGCACAGGTTCTGCGCGATCCTCTTCACTAATATCCTCTGCGTCTCAATCGGGCTCAAATTGATAAGCAATATAGACGACGCCATTGTTTACAATACAAGCAGAGCACATGCCGCTGAGGTGAGGGATGTTTAGACGCGCACCAGAGGCGGTTTAGCCAATCACAACACACTGGACTAGCTAACCAATCAGAGTCCATCGCGTATTTCTGAGGGAGGGGCTTCATAAAAGCAGGAAATGATCAGCGCGTTTATCAGAGAAGGGACAGAGAGGTGAAGAATAAAGGTAAATTATGTGAAAAATAATGCGTTTTTAAAAAAACGAAGCATGAACACATGTTAGACTGCACCCCATAAACACAATCAAGCCTAGAACAAAACCAGTCAACCACCCCTTTAAATTTAGCCAAAGGCGGCGCTCCAGCACCACTAAGTTGGCCATGGCCTTGCTGATCGCCTGCACAGTGGCCTTTGTAGTGTGCAGAGCCAGGCCAGTCGCTGTGCGCAGCTCTTTAAAGGCATCAGGATTTGGACCGCAGCATTCAGTCCCAGTGAGCACAGCCTCAGCGTGGGTGCTGCCCAGGCAAGCGACGCACTCACTGTGCCCGTCTGTGTCATGCAGGGGTTCCCTGCATGAGCCACACTTGCGGCATGACATTTGCAACAACATCGCTGAAATTTGCTCAGAAATTTGTTCTTTTTAATCCACCGGATAGCCGCAGAGGAAGGCTTGCTCTGCGATCTTCCACTGCCAGGGGCTCTTCTACGGCGAGCAGCAGGCTGAGCTTCTTTCCAATAATTTTTCAAATATATGACAACAACAATGTTCTATTCATATGGCTTTCTTTGCAGTAGCTTGCTTGATGTAGCTTTCGTTGTTGCATTTTTTCCTTATGATGCGTCTCACATCTTGCATGGTGATGTCAGGGAACTTTGACAGAGCATGGTCTGTGAATTAAAACACACACACACACACACACACACACGCACGCGCGCACACACAGAACAAAAATATAATATACATCATCCAGAATTAACACAATAAAACAGTCAAAGTATCATGATATGTAATTCAAGTTCAAGTTTCTGAACACGAATGCAATCACAACTGCTATATTTACCAACAGACAACCAAAAATGTCCTTTAAATGTCTAACTTCACATAAATTAGGGTTATTTTTTGGACAGCATCAAATGGTTGGTTCTTTTGGAAATTGGAAATTTCCCTTTAGTTACATGCACTCACCAAGTATAGCATCAAGTTTCGTGCTATCAAGCTGTGGCTTTGATTCCATGTCTTTGTGTGCCCCTGACTGTCTCCCTGTCTTTTGACTTTTGATGTTACTATTTTGGAGTAACATCTTTTGACCGAAACGTTGCCACATCTTTTGACCGAAACGTTGCCACTTTTAACCTTTTCTGAATAAAGGGAGAATAACAGTGTGCAGATCTTTTTTGTATAATTTTAAGTAAATTTTTTTAAATTCATATAATTACCTCTTATGGCATCGAGTATCTCTTTAACATTGTCTTCTTGTAGCCTCCCGTTCTCTCTTTTAAGTTCCTTCATTTGCAGCTGTACCTTACTCCAGTTTCTGGCATGTAGGTCCTCATCTGATGACGACTCATTTTCAATAGTTGACTACACCTGAACACAATGGGAAAGATTAAAAAAATAAATAAATGCAAACTTTGTCAAATATTAAATAGTCTACATCCTCATCTGCAGCAAAAGTTAAAACTTATGACTTCAATTTGCAAATATTAAAATAATTTACCTGTAAAGATTTTTGCTTTGCCATCAGCTCCTTCTTCAGGCTTTCAATCATTTGGTCTGCTACCTCTTTTGGGGTACTGGTTGTCTTTTTGCTCTTTTGCTGACAAAATTACAATTTAAACAATTCACATTTATTTGTACAGTGATTTTTACAAGACATACATATCATTCAAAAGCAGCCTTACAGAAATACATGTTTGTGTTACAATCAAAGAAGAGTTATATACATTGCTTCATTATTGAAATGTACATTTTTTATTTCTCCTAGATTCACATGCAGAGGTGGCATAGAATCTCCACATTATCTCCATGCTATTTTTATCTATGTTATCACCTGTTTTGATGAACGTCTTCTTGATCTTCTACATCCTCCATCAACCAACTTTTTGGCTTTGTCTTCCTCCTGAGTGTTTGTTTCCAGATGTCTTCACCCTTTATGAATTCCTCCCTCTTCTGGCAGAGGTCACTATAATTGTCTGTAAAAAAAAGTTTGGTGTACATTGTGAAAAACTGGGTCAGCCAGTCAAAAGTTTTTGAACAGTAAGATTGTTAATGTTTTATCAAGAAGTATCTTCTGCTCACCAAGCCTGCATTTATGTGATCCAAAGTACAGCAAAACCAGCAAAATTTTGAAATGTTTTTTAATATTTTAAATAACCGTTTTCTATTTGAATGTATTTTAAAATGTTATTTATTCCTGTGATGCAAAGCTGAATTTTCAGCATCATTACTCCAGTCTTGTGTCACATGATCCTTCAGAAATCATTCTAATATGCTGATTTGCTGTAAGAAACATTTATTATTATTATTACTTTTATTTAGCAGGGATGCTTTAAATTTATCAAAAGTGATGATAAAGACATTTATAATGTTACAAAAGATTTCTATTTCAGATAAATGCTGTTCATCAAAGAAACCTGAAAAAAGCTGTTTTCAACATTAATAACAATAATAATAATAATAATGTTTTGTTTTTTTCAACAAATCAGAATATTAGAGTGATTTCTGAAGGATCATGTGACTGGAGTAATGATGCTCAAAATTAAGCTTTGAAATCACAAGAATAAATTACATTTAAAAAAACATTAAAATAGGAAACAGTTATTTTAAACAGTAAACATATTTCAAAATGTTTCTGTTTTTGCTGTACTTTGGATCAAATAAATGCAGGCTTGGTGAGCAGAAGA